AGGTACTGTATCTGTATTCATCACCTAAGTAGGAGCCAGCCTCTCAACTTTGCAGATCTTAAGGCCTGGCACAAACGAAAAGTGCAGACTGAGGAAGTGTTTTAAACCATGGGAAGACTGCAAGTATGCATCAACTCTTGTGCATTTGCATGGCCTCTAGCAAAGGAGAGAACATTTATTTATTACTTTTAAGCCAGAATCTGTTTAGTCATTAGCTGGCCACCACATTATATGAGCAGACATTTCTGTAGCTACAATGATAGAAAATAGATACTGCAGAATTAGTTCAAGAAAACCAATATAGAAAAACAGTGAATCCTGATCAGAGGGATCTGTTTTATAGGGTTGTCATATAATTTTATTTAAAATATCTAATTTTTAGTAACAAAAATTATGGGGCAGATAAAGAAGTAGGAAAATATAGTTAATATGTTAAGAGTGGGATAGGGTTTGGGGTAAGCAATAGGAAACGTTTCCCGAGGAGCCCCCAAAATTGGGAAGACCACTTTATATGAGTTGTTTAATATACATGTATATATTTGAGAGGTTTTGTTTTTTTTTTTTTTTTTTTTTGTTGTTGTTGTTGTTTGGTTTCTCTTTTTTTGGTGACAGGGGTCAAACTCATGACCTTATGCTTGTCAGGCAGACATTTTCGCCACAGAGCTAAATACCCGGCTCTCTGTATATATTTGAATTGGGAGAAAAAAGGATCTGCCTACTAGAAGACTAATCAGTTGCTATTATCCTAGTTTGAGAAATGGAATAGAAAAAGAAATGGGAAAAGTGAACAGTCTCACAAACTCTTGAGACACTGTTAAGTAAACCATCATACACACATTGCAAACCCTGGAGGAGAGAAAGGAGAAAGACAGGGATCGAAAGAATATCTGAAGAAACATTGACATGACCAAATGCCAAATATGATGGCAAAAACTATTAATATATGCAGTGCATCCGTAAATATCTCAATGCACCTCAAGTTTGGTAACACAAGAGAACTATCCTTAGACACAGTATAATCAAAACACCAATTAAAAGGTTTTTTGACTTTTAAATTGTATCTTCTCAATTACTAGTTTTTTTCTTATGAGTATCCTTTGTAATAAATTTGAATTCCTGAAGTTGTACGCTTTTCATGCTTTTAACATAACAAGTGAACCATTATGTAAGTACTTGAAAATAACAATTTAGTGCGTTGCAATCTCTTTTATATGTATAATGAACTTTAATAATGATTTAAAATCTTCATGTACCTTCTCCACTCAGGAGTTAAAGTTAATTTTTATGTAACTTAATGTCATCTTTAAGAATTTAATATAAAAATGTTTATTACATTCAGTTTTTTATGTTGTATAAAGTGAGTTTAGTTAATAGTATAATTTTTTGTGCTGTGCTAACAAGTAGCTATGTTGTTTTTTTCATGTTATTTTTTATTTACTTTGGAAAATATAAGTTTAATATGTGAAATATATTGAAATTCCATAAATCACTGTAAAATGGGAATTTGGGAGGAAGTAATGGGGTCACCATGTAATGTTGTTTGCTGAATTTAGCCTTTATTTTTTTGCAAAATGTGTTAAATGAATTCAATAAATTCACTGAATAACAGTAAAAGAAGTCAACTGACATCCCACTTGCTGTTTCTGACAAACCTAAGATCTCTAAGGATAGTAATGTTTTTGCTTTATGTGCCAACGTGACCTCTTGTTGCAGAAACTGATGAGAACTATTGAAAACTATTGTTTAGTTCATCAGTGTTAACATATAACATTAACACATGCAAACATTCATTCTTTCTGTGCTGTTTCTAACTTCCTATTAAAGTTACTGGGTTCAGTCCTCAACGTACTTAATAGTGTTAGAGGGAAGCATTCTAGAAACAAGCTATCCAACCAGAGGTTGTGTCATATTAACTGAGAGCAAGTGCTGTGAATGGTGATAAAGCATAATGAAAAATTAAGGTGATGTTTTATATTCTAATATTTTTATTTATGTATAACAGCATTTTCACTAATAGTTTTATTGGTGTTTAACATAATTACAGGGTTTGCTTTACAAGATGTAATTGAATAGATTTCTGTTGAAATGTGAAAATTACTGGGTTTTTTAATCATTCAGTCTCAAAAGAAAAGGCTGGTACTGTGTAAAATTTTGATGAGCTATTTGAAATATTCTAATATTAAACATTAATAAACTTGTATTTTATAATTGAGAAATGTTGAATTAGATTTCTAAGTCTGATTAAAATTGTAGGTTTTAATGCTCATTGAAAGTCAGAGTAGATAAATAAAAATATTATATACTTGACAAAATCTTTGGATGTGGTAGCTTGTGAACTTATTTTTTTAGATATTTTATTTACTAAACACATTAATATTACTTGAAATTATAAACTATTTGTGTAACTTTTAGTGTAACATACACCATAAAATGTTTAGATATCATTTTAAAGCCAAAATTCTAGGGCAAATCTGTAAACCAGCTAAATTGATATTAAGGACTAGGTTGTCTTTAATAATTAAACTATATAAGAAAAATTACCAAAAAGAAAAATTAGCCCATGCTCCTATACATTATACTGTATTTTTTTTTTTGTATTTTTAAGGGCCATTTTATTTCTGAATTGAAAATTCTTTGTCCTAGTGTTATAGAAATGTCATAATTGTTCTTTTCATAGTTTGCTGAAGTTGATATATATGTATATGTGTGTCTCCATATTTATCTACAATCAGCCAGGCCTGGTGGCACATACTGGTAATTGCAGCACTTGGAGAGTTGAGGCAGGAGAATTGCAGTGAGTTGAAGATCTGTCTGGTCTATACAGAGAGATTGTCTCAAAAACAAAAAATAATAAAAACAAAACAAAAATACATAATATATGAATGTAAAACTGTTTAAACTCAGGTATCTTTTAATAGTAAAAACGATCATCTAACATTTCATTAATATCCTAAATTTCTATTACCTCCGTTTGTATGGTTATTCTCATTGCTTATAGAGATGAATATCCTAAAGATTGTACAGACTTCACTGATTCAATATGTATTTCATGACAGTGTTAGTTAACTTTTTTTTTAAGTGACTCATTACTGTTCTTTTTTTGTTGTTGCTAGATGTTCTAGAAACATCATGGGGGTTTTGTTTTTCTTTTCCTTTTATCTTTTTGCTAATGCTCTTATTTTTAACTTTAGTCATAATTTTCCTTTTTTTTTCTTTTTAAACATACAGAAATATGTGTACATATATACACATACATGAATATCTACACATAATCCTTGATATAGTCCAAAGGATATATACATATATATATATATATATATATATATATATATATATATATTTGTTTTCTTGGCAGTGCTGGGAATCAAACCCAGAACCTCATGCATGCTAGGCAAGCACTGTACCACTGAACTATACCTCCAACCCTTCATAGGAATATATGTAATGTGTATCTAAGTTTTAAGCAAAATAAAACAAAGAATACTATTTTCCTGACAATCTAAGTAATAGAGCATTGCAGCTAGGCATGATGGCACATGCTTGTAATCCTGGCAGTCAGGAGGCTAAGGTAGGAGGATCATGAGTTCGAAGCCAATTTATGCAACATAGTAAGTTTAAGACCATCATGAACTATAGAACAAGACTTTGCCTCAAAATAGGGTAAGGAGGCTGAAGAGAAACAACAGCAGCAGCAGAACCGAAACAAAAGGTTTTCTTTTTAAAAGCCATCTGGTATTTGAACCTTTACCTGTTTCTTCTCTAGTGCTTTTCCTAGTAATATTGAGATTGTCTTTTCAAAACATTAATGTATTTTAATCTTTAATTCTTGAAATAATAAATAGTACATCAAACGTATTATTTACATTGATCATCAATTGTTTGAATTTACTATTGTATTTCCCAGAATAATTGTTTCTGTTTTTCACCAAAAAAATTGACAAACCAGCACAACTAAAGTCTCTTTTAAATGTGAAGAAAGCTACATTGTTATATGAGGTTTATGTACTTTTAATCTGTTAAATGGTGACATTGAATAAAATTAAAATTTTTCCTCAATTAATATATAAATATAGACATTTATCAAGGAGAAAAAAAGGAAGGTAATCTTGCTTTTCAAACTCAGCAAAATTATTCTTAAATTAATTTGGAAAATTGATAAAGTTTATATCTTAAGTAAATTTCAGTATCATTCCATTAATCTTTTTCATGAAATTAACAAAACTGTCTGAGAGACAGAGTACAAAGATTGAGCCTGTTACTGAAGAAATTCCATCATGTTATCGTTAATCTTTCAGTGTGTTTTGATCTCTCCTAACATTATTATCAAAACAGCATTTCTTAGATTTGATAGCTATTTCAAGATTATTTAGAACTTTATAATTACCACATGGTAAATTTCATTCTACAAACCTTTGTATGAGATTTGGTAGACATTAAATATTTTAAAGATTATTTGCATGTAATTTATTTTAATTACTAGCATGTGTTTCATATCTATGTGTCTACATTTTGATTCAGTGTTTACAGATTGAAATTACATTCACAGAGGAACATGAGTATTTCAAAGTGATTATAGGGACAAAGTTTTTGAAGGACGTTATTCTATACTTTTGAACTAATAATTTGACATGCTTTGTGTTTTGCGATTGTTTTTGAATTTTATGAGTTATGTATATGTGATTGCTAAATAATGTCTTAGTTTAAATATTTCTGACATTTTAATATTTATCGAATTTGCAAAATAAGTTTTAAATTGACTTCACAGTATTACAAAATAATTTTTAAGGAAGTATAAAAATTTCTTTTGTGTGATGCATTATCATTAATAATTGTTATGAGAAAAATTTCCTGACACTGTACCCTTTATTATGCATTCAAATATGCATAAAAATTTTTTTCTTCTATGGTTTATTTTCTTTATTCTACAGTGAGAACATTTTACCAGTGACATGAGACTTTCTCTTGTGAAACTGTTTTTAATTATTTTCTTTTTATTACAGAAACACCTGCTGCATTTCCAGATACTATAAAGGAAAAAGAACCTTCAGCCCCTGGTGAAGATATTCATCTAGAAAGTTCAATTCCTCATACAGACTCAGGAATTGGTGAGGAACAAGTGGCTAGCATCCTGAATGGGGCAGAATTAGAGACTCCTGCAGGTCCTGACGCCATGAGTGAACTGTTATCCACTTTGTCATCTGAAGTGAAGAAATCACAAGAGAGCTTAACTGAAAATCCCAATGAAATGTTGAAACCTGCACCTTCCATATCTAGTATTAGTCAAACCAAAGGCATCAATGTCAAGGAAATACTGAAAAGTCTTGTGGCTGCTCCTGTTGAAATTGCAGAATGTGGTCCTGAACCGATCCCATATCCAGATCCAGCATTGAAAAGAGAAGCACACACTATTCTTCCTATGCAGTTTCATTCCTTTGACAGGTAAGTACTAGACTTATTATTCACAAAACTCTATCGGCAGAAAGAGAATTAAGCTGTTAAAGTAGAAAATTTACAATGTCTTGAAAACTTTAATGTGAGTTTTCAATACAAAGACTATGAAAGAAATTGACCAACCTGATTAATCTCTTGATAAAACATTTTAATAATACATCCTAAAAGGAGATTTCAGTAGATACAGTAGCTAACACATTGAACTGGAAGTAAGGAAACCCAGATTTGGTTCGAAACTGTTATGAAAGGACTACAGTACATGGGAGAAGTCATTTTTTTTCTCTTTGCATTTAATTGTATTAAGTATGAAATGGCAAAATATCCCCAAGATATACTCTCACTCTGAAATTGAATTTTAGTAGTCTAACATATTGCAATCATTCTTAGAGATTAAGTGTCTTGCTTTTAAGTAACGAAACCAATTGATTTTTAAATGGAAGTATATTGAAAAATAAAAACAAATGAGATCATCTTTCATACAGGATTTCTAGTGTCATGTAAAAGCCACATTTTGTGGCATGTATTTGAAATTAAATGCATTCAACAGGCATTTTGTCATTTTAGATATATAATCTACATTATAGTCTGTATATCTACAGTTGAATGTTAGGTCATTCAAATAATTTGTAAAGAACGACAGAGTTTTCTGTTCATTGTGTATATAAAAAATATAGTTCAAGGGGCTGGGAATTTAGCTCAGCGGCATAAACGCCTGCCTTGCAAGTATGTGATCGTGAGTTCAATCCCCAGTACCAATAAAAAGAAAAAAAAGGACAAAAAAAATAATATAGTTCAAAGAAGCAAAATAACATTTTATGCATAGCCAATTTGTACATATAATGTATCTTTCTATTTAAACATGTGCAGCATTGAAAAATTACTTAACTAGTTACTGATCACCAACAATAGTACTATACTTAACTTTGACTACAGAGATTATTATATATTTCAAATTATTATTTTCTATATTAATGTATAAACTGAAGAATGTATTACTTTATTATCTGAATTAAGTCAAGATTTAAAAGACTTTCATATCCAGAATTTATGTGTAGAACACATTTTATTATGTATCAGGTGCTTAACAAGCAAATGTTTTTAGTTTAAGAGTCAAGTTTGAGTTAAAAAACCCAAATGTTTCTTAAAACAGTAGGTCAAAATAAATATATAGTCAAAAGATAACTTGTATTTCATATAACTTTCTCTAAAATGGCCAAAATGCTTTGTTGGATCTATAAAGAGTAATATTTTAGATTTTAGGGGTTTAAGTGTGGCAATAGAGCCTTGAGTTAGGATGGGTTATTATTTTCATTGACAAACATAGTTTAAACTTTGCCTACAGACACTTTAAGCGGTGCTTTTCATATATTTCTTGAAAATTTGTTCTATCAGTCTAAATGGCATTATCTTATGCAATATCAAGTTTTATCTTCAGTGAATTTACAGAGTGTTAGGAAATAATTATAAAAAGTAATATTTATTTTGTGAAAAGTTTTGAAAGGTGAAAACTGTTGTAACCATAAAATGTAGGAGAACATTTTTCTGTTTTAATGGTTTGTGGTGGCATATTTGTGTGTTCATTCATATAGTTATTTTTCCTTATGACACTTATACTGTATTGATGTTCTCTATTTCCGTATTTGGTTTATGTTCACAGAATATATTTGTATTTGTGTTTATGGCTTTGAATAAAATTTTTCCTCAGGTGTATATACTTTTGAATATCAATAAATCTGTATCTATAAATGCTATAATAATATATAAGATCATTTTAGGGTTTGTGTGTCGTTTTCTTTTAAATCACATTTTTAAATTTTACTAAAATACAAATATAGAGTTATTGTACAGTATTGGAATGTTTAAGCTAAATATTTTTGCTTTAATTTGGATTACTATTTTTCATTAAAATTTAAAGTGATCACTTGAGCACCAGTATTCTTAGCTATCTAACATTTGCCACACATTTGAAAGTATTACTTTAAAATTACAGAAATTTCTTTTCTTGGTAACATTTGTATATGATGCAGTGGGAGCAGACTCATTATTCTAAATTGAATATGTAGAAATGAAATGGAAGAGCACAAAGCATATTTCATTTCTTTTTAGGGGAAGAATCTTTAGTGTAGTTAATATATGCAGTGGCTCAAGTACTATCAAATGTAAATGATGAGGTGATATTGATGAAAGGAGGGGATTGAGGTCTCCGGGGGCACCAATGACGGATTGAACAGAAGCGGCCTTGCACTGCACGTAACTCAAGTCTGTCGTCTTCACTGCTCAAAGCCATAATGGGAGGTGGCAGTCTGAAATGAGTTGCCACGGCAAAGAGTATTATTTTTGAAATGCTTTCACACAAATCACTAGGCACTGCATACAACTTAGTTTCATGCTTTAATGTCATCAGGAGGCACAAATTGGTGTGTCTAATTGTTTGCCACCTGCCAGCAAAATGAGCTGCCAGCCAGCCAGACGGGTTTGATTGTCTGTCAGCCGTTCAATAGATTGAGAGTGACAACATCAAAAATTTAACTTCAAACTCTGAAGCTTTGAGCAGCTTTTCAGAGGCATCATCCTCACACGTGCTTCTGGACCATTGCATTTTTCAATTATATTTCTAGTGTATTGCTGCTACTTGCCTTATCTGTCTTAAGGTAGCTATAATTACATTATGAGGTATATAAACATATATTTCTGAAGCACTAAAGTTTGAAATCCAACTTACTACATGTCTTTTAACATCAGATTGAGTTCCTTGAAAATATGATCCAAAATGACAGGATTTAGAAAGAAAGTCCTGAATGTTACTAGTTTCAGTCACAAAATTAACACTGGTCTTTTCTTAACAAAAAGAAAGCATCTTATGTTTTTATCTTTAGGTGAAAAATAAATGCAAACTCAGTGGCTCTATTATTCATAATGAAGCCATATTTCATAATAATATTGTGCAATTCTTATAGAAATCATCTATGATTCTGCTTTTGTTAACTAATTTTTTGAAAGCATATTGACAAGCATTCTTTATGCTTATTCTAGACTGTACGTTTGGAAATAACTTCTTAAAATTAGCAGTGAATCTGAACTCTGTTAACTGACATTGTTAAACATTATTTCTCTCCGTGTAAAATAGAGCATTGATGAATTTCAGTGTTCTAAAATTTAAAATATTTTTGTAAAATTTTCTAAAATTTAAAATATTCTTGAAAATTCATCAAATTTGCAAGATTTGTTCTAAAATAAACTTTTAGAATTAAAATTTTCATTAGAGAATATGCAACAGTGTATAAATGGCTTTTTGTACATGTATCCAAAATACTTAATCCTTTTATTTCTTTTAATCCATTCAAACTTTGAATATATATTTTTATTTTTAGTCATCCATTCTAGATTTAAATATATATTTTTAGTTATACCGAGTGATCTCATTGTGTATGTTTATGAAGTATACATGTGCTAAAGATCCTGTAATATTCTGGTAGAGTGAGGAAGCATGGTATGTATAGAGGAAATAAAACTGTGGGAAGTTTTCCACATTTCTGTAACAATGAGGCACAGAGAAATAGTTATAATTTTTTTTTTCTAAAAAAAGAGTAATAATCTCAAACTTTAAGTGAGTTCCTGTGTTCTCCAACAATACTCTTTGGCCAGATTTCCATATTGATCCATTCTAGCTGAGCTATTAGTTTGATATATTAACGCCTATCACTCTTAGTTTTCTTTAAAACTACCAGTTAAACTTTTCCATAATTTTAAAATAAGATTTTACCCTATAGATCTCCATGCTTTTCAATCTGCTGAGAATTTGGTATATATCTGTGGTTTACCTCTGTTTTCATTTCCTAGGGTTTCCTGATAACGCAGTTAAAACAAAAGGGGAGAAAACACAGTGTGCTTTCAGTACACTTTGTTACATTTTTTAAATTGTGTGTTATTATACATATACAACTAGTATCACCTGATTTTTAATTTTGTTCTTCCAAGCGTTTCATCCACCTAAAAAGAATATCTCTGAAATAAAAGCAATTTTGTAAACAATATAAGACTAAAAAAGCAATTTATTTATATTTCATACCAATATTAAGCCTAATATGTAAGCCTTAAATAGATATTTTTACTGTAGATTTGCTAGTTATTTTAGTGTTGGTTTCAGTGACAAGAATGAAAATTTAGGGTAAACAAATAACAGAGTTGTGATCATTTTCTTAAGCTTATTTTTTGAAACTTAGAATTCAGTAAGAATGTTTAACAGCACAGTTACTGATGAGGGCTTCAATTTTTATTCTTATAGCTATTTTTTGAAAAAGGTATTTTGATTATATAATTTAAAAGGCAACCAAGTAACTGTAAAGTGAACTTAGTTACAAATTTGCGAGCATTACAAATCAAATTTTGTGTTTCTATCTACTGTAATCTCTGTTTTTACTTATGTTCTGAGTATTCTGGGTATCTTTATGTTTGTGATTATTTTTCACATTGAGAATATGATTCGGATGAAAGGGTCATATTATGTATATTTTGTCAAATTTTATATACATTTACATAGTCTACCAACTTGAGCAAATGTTTTTAAGTATTCATGATTTATGATTATACTCTAGTTGCATTTCAAATAAATATTTACAGAATCCAAAATCTACATTAATGTTTGCCAAAAACATTTTTTTGTTGGGGGAGAGTTGTACTGGGCATTGAATCCTAGAGGCCTTTTCCATAATGAATTGGGTTCATGAATTTAAAAGTGTTTTTAAAAGCAAAAGAAGAGAGACAGAGACAAGAGAGAAACAGAGACAAAGAGAGACAGAGAAAGGAGAGAGAGAGAAGGAAGGAAGGACAGTTGAAGAACAGAGTCACTGGAATTGCATGCTGTGTTTATCTGCCATTAGTAGCAGGATTAGAATTTATAGTAAACCTAATCTTTTTGCTTTTTGCAGGAGTGTTGTGGTGCCTGTAAAGAAGCCACCTCCAGGTAGTTTAGCTGTAACCACTGTGGGAGCTGCCACTACAGGAAGTGGGCTGCCAACAGGCAGCACCTCTAATATATTTGCTGCCACTGGAGCTACACCAAAAAGTATGATTAATACAACAGGTATTGTCCTTACATATTTTTGTGATACCTCATCTTTTTCTTTCTGTTTTCTATATCAGTTTTTCTTATTTGATCTTAAAAATTAAAATAAGACACCCTAATGATTTAAGATTATCTCAAATTTCAAGAAGATTATACTTTATAACATTTCAGAACTAGTCTGTAGTTCCAGGATACAGTTTTTAAAGGTCATTTTATGGGACAGTATTCATTTTGGTTTTTGAATTTTCTCAAAACATCATATTCTTTATTTTAGAAGTGAATATTTGGGGAGCAAAATATAGTTTGAATACTAAAATTGGATTATGTAAAAATTAGTAAATTGTATAAAGAATATCAAAGTATGCTATAAGTGTAGATTTGATGACATTTACTTATTGAATTCCAATATATATTCTTTGCTAAATCCCCTAAGGGAAGGCAGAGCTCCCCTAAGAATCTTGATGATATTCAAGCACCTCAATTTGATTAAAAGTGCATGTGAATAAGAACCATTGTTTGACAATAAATTAATTTATGTACTTAGATTACAATTGTATCAGATTCATTTTCCAACATTTTCCTAATGATCTAGGGACCAAAAATTCCAAATCACTATAAATTTTAAAAGCCTGTCTAAAATTTCTCTTTTTAAAACAATTTTCCAGTAATGTTCCTGTTGATTATTAGCTAAATAAATCCTTACCCAAATCTTTGTGATTCCATTTTAGGTATTTATACAACGCAAGATGATCCCTGACTTTTCTTCCCTGACTATAGTAGTCTTCTCTTCTCCAAACTGTATACCCTTGAACTTTTCCATTTATTATCATTACTTAGATTCTTCCCATTTTTATTAATTTCTTAGCTCTTCTATGTGCTTCTGTATCTATCTTGTTTATCATACCACCTGAGTCTGACATACCATGAACAACATATTTATGGGGTTGTAGTAAGTAGAATGTACTCTATTAAACATGTATATATAAATAAGCAGATAAACAATTATGGATTAAGTGAAAGAATAACATCTTTGGCTTATCTTCGTTATATTTGGTTTGACTGATGATGTTGAAGTCTTTCCAGGATTGTAGTTTTATTCTTTGTACTCAACTGGTTTTCTGTAATAGGAGTAAAGCATTTTCTTATACCAAAATATAATACTAAAAAATGTTAAGGTTTTTCAATATGCCAATGTAGTAGAAAGAAATTTGTATTTAGTATATGTATTGAATAAAGTTCTTATTTTTTTTAAATGAGTAAATGAAAAAGTACATCACATCTTATCTTTATGAGACAATTATGTTTCCCAATGTAAGAATTATTAGGGTATACAGAAAATTTCACAAGAAATTTAATGAGGATATAAAATACATAATATTATAGAGAAAAATAAAAATATGCAGAAATAAGGTTTCATACTTAGAAATATGAATTTCAGGCCAGCATCTGAAATGGGTATAGTGTCCAGTTTAGGTGTCAGGACATAGAAGCTCTACAAAAATAGTAGAAATCCAGTATGGGAATTAATAAAAGATATTATATTTAGGAACACTAGATGTCCCTCAACTCCACAGCTATTTAATATACTAATATGGCATATTACCAAAAAATTGATTCTAAAATGGAATCTTTGTATAATTTAGAATTCATTATTCTAATCTGAGGTACAGTTAATCTCCTTATAGATCTTCCTAAACAGGCATTTTATCAAAATGAGCATCTAATGCTGCAGATCCACAAAACTATACTCAGACAGTTCGTAGTAAATTATATCTTAGATAATGAAAACTAAAAATACTGCAGTAGAGCAAAACAAAGAAATAAAATTTTTCCCATTTAAATTTGCATTGTTTTATCAGCCACATTTTATCTAGAACTTTTTCATGTGTTGTCTTTTATTTATTCCCCATTTGTAATTGTAGTTTTTTTAAGGTTAACATAAAGAAATCAACTGTATTTTAATGCAATGATAGTCATTTAAAATATGTAGAGCTTGTTAGTATTCTAGTAGTCAAATAATTTTTAATTGTCAAATGTTATTTTGCAATTCAGATGAGTAATTCTTTGAAAATCAAAAAGCAATGTTGAATTTTAAGTTATGTAATTAAACTTACATTTAAGACTAACATCTATTTTCTTGGGAACAGGTGCCGTGGATTCAGGGTCCTCCTCCTCTTCCTCCTCTTCTAGTTTTGTGAATGGTGCTACCAGCAAAAACCTTCCAGCTGTACAAACTGTTGCTCCAATGCCAGAAGATTCAGCTGAAAACATGAGGTATGCAGAACTATATTTTACTTTTTCCTTTTCTTTAAACACAGTAAGAGAGGTAATAAATACATCCATACAGTTAGACTACATAAGAATGTAAGTAGATTGTTAATTTTAATACTTTGTAATTATCCCATTTTGATATTTTGGCTAGTTATTATATCAGTGCCAGGGCCAGGGATTTAGCCTCAGTGGTTTCAGCACTTGCTGGTGAGCGCAAGGTTATGAGTTCGATCACTGGTACCAAAAAAATAAAAAATAAGCAAGTAAGTAAACAAATAAATACATCAGTACCTTTATATTTCAGACTGTAGAATGAGAGATCTTGAGTGATTTTAAAACATTGGTTGCTGAAATTATAATCAGCTATCATATGTAATGCATGTCACTATATCCAGTAAATTTAAAACAAAAATAGATTGTAACATGATCAAGCTGTACATCTTTGAATAGTGAAAAATTTAAAATAGAAAATTTTAAAATAAATCTTTGAAACTGTTTTATATATATTATTGAAATAAACAGATATTATCTTATTTCATGTGATAAAAGAGCATTCCTAGAATGTTCTGCATCCCATTCCTGAAGTTAAATTGTATACACATACATAAATATACATTTGTATGTACTCCCATTTTTGTTAGAATCATTATATAAAATATAGAAAATTCGGTGAAAGCTAAGTGTGCTTGAACATGCCTATCATATCATATACCCTGGAAGCTGAGGCAGGAGGATTACAAGTGCAGGCCTGCTGAGTGGCAACTTAATAAGATGCCATCTCAAAAAGAAAATTGAAACAAAAACCAAAAAAGAAAAAAAAAAACCTGAAAAATAAAAAAAGAAAAAACTCAGGAAAAATGTACTCAACATACTTACACAATCAATCAAATCAAGAAATACCTGCTTGAAGGATTCCATTCAGAAGCTTCCATCTTGGGCTTCTTTCCCAGTCATTCTTCTTGCTTTTCTTCAGGTTTCTTACACTGATACTTAATCTTAAAGTAGATTCTTTCAAAAACCGCATATAAGTTTAAGTACAGTTTAAGAGTTCCTTTATGTATAGGATCTCTTCAACATTGCATTTATTAGACACTCATATTACATATAGCAATAGTTAATTTATACTTATTCTATTTCCACTCCAATGCATATGCATTTTGTCATTGTTTATTTTGTTAACTGATACTAAACATTTGTAATTTTTTTTTTATTTTTTAGCTAATGCAAATAGTACTGCTATACGGATGCTAATGCAGTTGTAATTATTATGGGTGTGACATTTTGTGGATGTACACCGTTTCTTATTGGATAAATAACTTAGAGTTAAGTTGGTTATTTATAGTGTTTGTGTATGTTTAATTTTACTGGAGAATACTAAATAATTTTTCAAAATACTTACAAAGTTTACTAACTCAGTAGACAGAATATGAGAATTTCAGTTGCTCTGTATCTTTGTTAGGACTTTCAGCCGTTTTTCTGTAAGGGTCGTGGCATTCCACTATATTTTCACTTTTTACTTTTCTGATGAATAATGAAATTGAATAATTTTGAAATACATTTACCGGCCTTTTGATTTTCTTCTTTTGCAATTGTACATTGAATTATATAGTCTTTTTAAAATAGTTTAGTTGTCTTTTTCTTAATTAGAAGGTTTTATATACTTTGAACATGAAGAAGTCTATAATGAATTATATATCTTCATTCTTTATATATCTTTTATATATTATATATCTTTTATCGTTATCAATATGATTTATTTTGATGAACACAAGTTGTAAAATTTAATGAAATCCAATTTATCAGTTTTTTATTTGTGAGGGTTTTTTACATTTTATAATAAACATTAACCTTTAGTTTCCCTATTGTACTTTCTGTCTGTCTTATTCTTTGCTCTTATATTTAGGTTTATAATCCATTTGGAATTGACTTTATGTATATAATGAGATAGGAGTAATATACATGTGAAAATGATAAGCACCTTTATTTCAAAGACTTCTTTGTACTACACTCTGCCACTTTTATTGCAAATCAAGAGTTTCTGTGTGCCTTCTTGTGGCTTTGCACTCAATTCTGTGCTGTTCATTTGTCCAACATTCTGCCATCACTGTCATCATTTAGATTTTTAATTGATTGCAGTACAAAATAATTTCCCCTGATTTTCCCTGCCCTTTCCTGTAATTCTATCCCTAGAAGTAGAGTTTGTGGACATGAGAAAAGGAACTGAGCTTTTTTTGACATTAGAATCTCTTTGTCAATGTTTAAAATACAATTTGCTGGAGCTTTTGTAATGAGTAGAATCTTTAGGATTTTTGCAGTTTCAATAATATTACATCTGTAGATCTCTTCAATATTTTGATTATAACTATGAGCATCATGTATTCCTTCCATATCTAGTTTTTCTTAAACTTCAAGTTATGATTTTTTAGATTGCCTACGTATTTTTCACTTGATTTCTTTTTGAAATTAAATATTATTTTGTATTTGTATTTTTCTTGTTTTCATACCACTATTTTGAGAGTATTTATGTTGCTAAAATTCAACCAAAAACTCATTTAGTATACATTTAAATAGGCTTTGATCAGTTAATGTATCCGTAAAGTTACACCACAATCAGGATGTCGGATGTATCCATCAACCTAGAAAGTCTCATCATTTGCTATTTGTAATTTAACCCAATCTCTGCTCCTGGCAAACATTCTAGCATTGTAACTTAGATATGACTTTCAAGATTTTCCCTTGAATAGAATCTTGTACTATATTTTATTTTGTGTCTGTCTTCTGCTCAGCCTAGTTTGTGATTCACCCATCTTTTTTTGTTTACGAGTATCCCATTCCTCTTTATTGGTATTATTCTGTTTTATAGCTGTCTCACAGTATGTGAATCTACATACCGGTTGATAGACACTGTAGTTTATCCAGTTCGGGGCAGTTACAAATAACAGTTTTGTGAAGACTTGAATAGATAAATTTTGGCATAAGCATAATGATTTATTATTGTTTGGTAAATAATAATGAAATTGCTGGTTGAAAAGTAAGTATATGCTCGTGTATGAGAAACAGCTGAGCTGTTCTGCTGAGTAGTTATATCATTTTGTATTTCTGTTATCAATGAGTAGAAATTCTGTGTTTCTCACATGCCTGTCAGTACTTACTACTGTCATTCTTTTTTATGTGAAGTTTTATGATAACTATATAATCATACCTCATTTGATTAACCTTTCAATTTTCTAATGACTAATGATTGCTTTTTGTCATGTATTTATAGGTCACTGAAATCTTTTGCTATTTCTAAAAATGAGTTGATTTTCTTATTGAGATATGAGTTTATATGTTCTACATTGATTTTTTGTGAGATGCATATATTCTATATTTGTTTTATTCCATTTTACGTTTTAATTTTCTTAAAATTATTGAAAATAGTTTCTATTTTGATAAAATCCATTGTTTTAACTAATATTTTCTTTTATAGCTTAGCAACTTTTGTAAGGCCATGAATTATCTACTCCAAAATCATGTATAAATTATCCTATATTTTCTTCTTTTAGTTATATATTTTTGGCTTTTATGATTATGTCTTCCATCTATTTTGATTTAGTTTTTGTGTATGATAAGATAGAGTTTGGGGGGCTGGAGATGTAGCTCAGTGGCATAAGTGCCTGCCTTGCAAGCACGTGGTTGTGAGTTCGATCCCTGGTACTGATTTAAAAAAAGAGTTTGGGCTTCTAATTATCCATGTATATGTACACATTGGTTTAAAATCTATTGACCACATGTGTGTAATGTGTAGATCTTTTTCTGTACTCCATTCTGTTTCTTGTCCTACAAGGCTGTCCTGCTCACTATTGCACTGTCTTCCTTACTGTATACCTCTAGAATGAATATTGTAATCATGTGGTATTACAACCTCTCATTCTGTTCTTTTTAAAATTTTCTTTAACTTTTCTAGGCAAAAAGCATTTGCATATAAAGTGTAGAACTAGTTTGTAATTTATAAAATTGCTGAAATTTTAACTAGAATTATGTTAGACTAAATTTGCAGAAACTTATCTATGGATTTTCCCATTTTATCTAAATTGTATGATTTATTGGGATCTTTGATTTCTTTTAGTAAATTATGGTAGTTTTAATTGTTGAAGGACTTGTATCAATTATTATCTTTTTATTATTTTTCATATTTTTGGTGGTGTTCTGAATTGTTTTTTCCTTAATTTGCAGTTGAGTTAAAAGCCAGACCAAAAATAGTTTTATCATTGCATTTACATAAGATAATAGAAAATAAAAACTAAATTATCCTGATAGGGAGCAAATTAATGGTTGCCTGTGCCATTTATACCTTACTGAAGCTGAGGAAAGGGGAGATTTTAATTTTGTATTGGATATTAGATTGAAATAAAATTAATATTTACATTGTTTTTATATTTTGTAATCTTGCTTAATCCTCTTTGGTAACTTTTCATATATTGTTTAGACTCATCTAAAGTCACTTTGTTATTTTAATAGTTTCATAATTTTTTTTGTCTTTTTCCTTTTTATTGGTAGCAAGGATCGAACTCACGACCGCCTGCTTGCAAGGCAGGCGCTTATGCCGCTGAGCTAAATCCCCAGTCCCTAGTTTCATACTTTTAATATTTTTCATGTGTTAGATAATACCACTTTTAACTTCAATATTACTTACTCTGAAATATTTAATGATTTACCAAGAGAGCTATCCCTTCTTAGTATTTTTTTCAGAGAAAAAGTTTTTAAGTATACGCATATATACATCTATGTGTTGTGGGGCAGTTTTTCCCCATTGTAATATATGCATTTTTACTTCTTTTTCTTGGCTTACATTACAATCTAGCTGCCCTTGATTTTCTGTAGACATGATCATGATAAACATTCTTTTTAATTTTTCCTCTCAGGTAGAAAGTTTGAACATTTCATCATTAATTTTGATTTTCTTCTATTAAGCTATACTTTTCAAAAAACAGAAAGCTTTTGTATGTATAATAACAAAGATG